CTGCTGCGAGCAGAAAATCGCACGTTCGACCTGGCAGCCGGCATCGTTGGAATTGAACATGTCGCTTCTGCTGCATCTGTGGCCGTCAACAATGTCTCTTTCTTTTCGGTTAAACCCTGAAGAAGAGCATCAGTCTTTGCTATCGATATCTGCAGCTCCGATAGCCACTCAGGTTCAGCCTTTTCATCCAACACGGCAATTTCGGACGCTGACTCCTTCCCGTGCATTGGATAAGACTGACAAGCTATCAATTTATGAAGAACGTTGATTGTATTTTGAGCGAGTCCTGTAACTCTCTCAATATAACTTCGCTGAATATCCTGACGACTCTTGTGCAGCATATGATGGGCAAATTCATCCCCGGCAATTGTGTGCATAAGACCCATAATGCCACTCCGCAGCAGGTTGCTCACAGATTCCTCCACCTGCTGCTCTGTGTTTGTGCCAACTGTGCAGATAGTACGTGCCGTCGCCGCTGGTAGTGGTGGTGGTGGTGGTGGGTGACGGCCACATTTCTCATTGGATGACCCCAAAGACGTGAAGGAAGAAGAGCGCACCAAATCTTCAAGTGGGGAGTTTGCCGGGCTTGTACGAAGCGACTCCTCTGCGTCCTCCATGACGTACACATCACTGCTGTGACTAGACATCGGCTTCACTGAGACAAACTCCACATGAGTCGTGTTATAAAGAAAAGGAATAAATAAAAACGGAAGAGAAGTAAACTTCAACCTTAAGTGCGAAAACCAAAAAAAAAATAAATAAATAAAGGAAGCAATCGGCACACATCGATAAATCCGCGAATGCCTCATTAAAGCAACGGGGATAACAATTGTCCATAAGCAACTTTTTAATGTGCTGCGCCATAAATCTCATCCTATTCCTTTTCCCGCCGCAAAAAAAAAAAAAGGAAAAAGAAGGAGGAGAAGAGAAAAGAATGCCAAAACCAAAGCAGGAACCAACACTCACCCCACTGCCACTCATTCCTGCTCCTTGAGACATTGTAGTACACGTTCCCAACGCCTCCTCTCGTCATCTGAAAACCCCCAACGGCCGACAGCAACTACGTCCCCTTCGGGATTTGTTTGCATCTCCATATCTTTCTGCGCTGATATCATCGGCCGCCGCAAGTCCACTTCACGAACAAAAAAACGTTGTGACGCCTTGTTAAGATGGTGGAAATGTCGCCGTACTCGTTCCTGGGTCAGTTGCATCTGAAGCTCCTCCATGGCAATGTCATCCACCATTTCCCCTTCACGTAAAGAACGTTGAGAAGCCTCGGCCGCCGCATCATCGTCCTTGCGAGACGCACTTTTCACTGCCCTTTGCTCCTCCAACAAGTACCGCCGTGCAACCTGGCGCATCTCCCTCCTCACGTCCTCGGAGGTGATGCAATCCCACCGCTTATCTCGAACCCTTCGAAGTGCCGCTTGCAACTCTTCCTCAGGATCACATGGCACCACCTCCTGCGCCCGCCACAGATGCGTTTGCTTCGCCTTGTCATAGTGGCAGGTGGCGGAGAAACTCACGTACGATCCAGGCAAAGGTGTTGGCGGAGAAGCCGCGCCCTCCAACTTCCCCCGCGTCTCAGTTGTAGAGGCGTCACCTTTGCGCAGAAGGAACCAAACACTCAAAGGATCTCCTTGGCTCAATGACTGTGATACACTCGCCGTAATTTGCGCGTCTTCCCCGATCTCTTCCATCGTTGTGGATGATGCTGGATGCGGGGCCGTCGACAGAAGCGAAGCAGGAGGTGGCACGGCAAGAACAAAGCCGTACCCCCGGTCAGGAAACACTTTATGCACAACACCAATCATGCGCACCGGCAACGCCTTGGCGGCCGTGGAGGCATGTCGCCGCCCGCTCCTACCGACACGTAAGACACAATCAAAACGCCACAAACGCATCCCTCTCTTACACTACTCTTTCCCACACACAAAAAAAAATAAATAAATAAATAAATTCACACATCAAACAAAAGATAAGAATATATATATATATATATATATATATATATATATATATATATATATATATATATTGCATCATGCTATATTATTCATCACACCGGTTTTACATAATCAAATCCTCCTACCCAAAACACACAGGCAACCAGAAAAAAAAAAAAAAGTCAACACGACATGCACCGAGCATACACAAACCGCACCCCACAGTCTACCGTGAACCAAAAAAAACGAAAAGAAAAAAGTACCAAAAATATATAAAACAAAGACCTTCAATACAAACTATTATAAGCACATACATTTAACAACACATATATCGTGAGGAAAACAAATAACAACCCCTCGTATCCTACCAAAAAAAAAAAAAAAAACCACTCCACAATAAACCCAAAATGCAGACTGTAAACACCAAACAACAAGGACAGATAGACAAATATATATGCACATTTCGGCACATTTGACGGCATCACGACAACAACAATGAAACATAAAAAACACGGAGGGCTCTCTGAAAGTAATCAATGCCATGCTTTCGTTCAAAAAAATAAACGACAACGAAGCAACAGCACAACTGTTTAAAAAGCAGAGAAAAGGGTCAGCGTCAACCTGGCCATCCAGTGCGGCGTGAGACAGTCAGGGTACAAAAACAATTACTACCATCAAAAGCACAGTCCGGGCAGTGACGGCCGTCTGGCAAAGCGCTGCCGCCCAAATAAAAAAAATAAAATAAAATAAAAGGCAAAACAACAAAAAAGCAAAGAAATAATGAATACAAATAACAAAAGAAAAAAACACGGCGAGCCCCACACAAACGCCGTGTGCGCGGATCTCAGAAACGGCAGAAAGAACACAACACGGAATGCGGGAGCTACGCGGTGCGGTCACGCCCCGACATCCACAAGATAACCCGCTCCACTGAAATCTGTGGCTTCAACGACAGCAGCAGCTTAAAGATGCCATTCTCAAATGCGTTTCTGTCATTGCCACGCGTCAGCAGGAGGACCCGCACAAGCAGGAAGGCCTCAACGTCACCCCCAAGCAGCTGCTTCAGCCCCTCGCACTCCGCATGGTCGCCCAGGGCCTCCTCCAGCACCTGCAGCACGTGTTCCGCGGTCACGCCTTTCTGCCCGGGCGCCTCCTCCTCCTCCCTCGGCGCCGCCGCAGCGTCCTCCACCACGGCACGGGGGGAAGCAGGCACAATGGGGGCAGCGCACGGCACGGCATTCCGCCTCGGCGTCGCCTTCCGGGGCCGCGACGGCGCCTGCGGAC